GACGGACGGCGAGTCGCTGGTGGGGATCACAACTACCAGCGTGACCATCACGAAACACACTCTGCGCAACGTGTTTCCACACTTGCGCACCACCGACAACAGCGATCGGAACGGTAAGCTAGCAGAGCAGCTTCTGAACCAACGACTTGTTATGCGCGGGTCAACGTGTTTCGAGTGGGACTACTCGACTAGCCGCGTGACAAGGGTGGTATCCCAAAGCGACATGCTGGCGCCGATGTTGGTTCTACTTGACAACATGGAGGACGTAGCTCGGGTTTTCGAACAGGCGCTCATTTCTCCGGAACTCCAGTGGAAGCGGGTACTGTATTACAATGCTTTACCTCTGCGGTGTAGTATCTCGACCCATTCATCAACTCCTAAACTTTATTAGACGAGTTTGTTGGTTAAGATGGGCCGATCGAGGATGTCGGTTGCGCGATCCGATCAACACAAATCGCAGCGTCCTCGTTCCTACGGATTTATATATGGTAAGACGTTGTCAAGATTGCAACAATGATTTTATTTTGTCTTACCCTGACGAAACGTTACTTCAGCGTTACCACTTCAGGTTACGGGATAAGTCATTATTCTAAAGCCTAAATGTATAATTTCATTCCTGATATTTGTTTCGGTTTTTTCCACTCCATTTAGGTTTACACTATGCCATCTAGGATTGGTAGAGGTGTAGTATTCGCGGTTCACTTCCTGTTCCTGGCCGAGAATGAAGATGGGTGAAGGAGATAGGAAGGAGAAATCATGCCTTGGTATCGTGATCGCAGATCGTATTCATTCCGCTGTTGATCTGTTGGCTCGTACTTTTGCTCGAGATCTCACACCACTGAATGAGGTAGGTGGCCTGCACTTACAAGAGGTGGAGAACCAATAGCATTGTTACTACATAGACAATAGATTGGAATTGACGCGCGAGCTGCAATTTTGAGCGTCTTATGATCGTCATTGGCCATAAACGATTGAATATCCGGATTCTCCACCCCAAGTTCGTCAATTTACGGAAAACCGAACTCAAGAAAAAAATGAAAATTCAATTTTTCGAGCAAACATGTTTTGTCAGGAAATGTAGCTGGTGAGTTAATAAATCGAAAGAACGCGATGAGCTCTTTCGAATGCGCTGCTTTTTT